AGAGAAATTGAGTTGGGGGAGCACCCAGAAAAGTAACCAGTGGTGTGAGTCTCCATGCCCTTCCACTGGCCACTTATATTAGCTGTGAAGCAAAATTATGTATTACTCACTAACACAGCAGAAATTCTCTTAATGTGGCTTGCCTATTTGTTCTGTGTACATAAGAGGGAAGAGGAAGAATATTTCCTTGCTTTCTCAAAACCTAAGCAAAAATGTAAAATAAGTAGAATTTGTCCTTACACATTTTATACCTTCTTTTTTGGAAATGCTTCTCCGGCTGCCCTGATGATTAGTCCTGCCCCGTGTTCCCTGATCCCCCCAGTTGTATTAATCCATTCCTATCTTGTCTCCAAATCAAAGTAGCCCATTCCCTTGGTGTGACTATTTTTGCAAAGTGTGAAGGGATAAACTGCTTAAACTGCTGAGGAAATTAGTTTACACTGATTTGAGGATGTCTAATTGATTCAGACCCTTTTAGGGGTACTTGGAGATTACTATATTTATAAAATATAGCCATATTATAGAAAATTTGAAAACAAGAACATTTTTTGTTATTTTGGTGTCTATCCCTCCAATTATTTTTCTGAATGTTTTACTGGTTTACTCTAGTGTACATATAAAAATTATTATTTTTAATGTAAACCTAACCACATTCTTGGATGCTGTGTTCTCTCTCTCTCTCTCTATATATATATATATACATATGATACTTATTAATTTTTAAAGGATGAAAGATCAAAGTTTGGGTGATTAAAAAAGGTAAAATATAGGAGTTCATGATTTATATTTGGGGTTAGGTGAGAGATATGTTTGTTGGTGGAGAGGAATTGCAAAGTAGTCTGGCCAGCTTTTGGTAGGAGTCTGGCCCAAGGACAGCTCCCTTGTTTTTTGGTTTCCAGCTTCATAGCTTCCATCTCTTTTGAAGTAACATGCTTTGAGACAATAAGATTTTTTAAAAGCATGGTTTCTAAGGTAGTATCTAGGGAAGCATTAGGTGTACAGTTTGAATTTGGGGACTGCCTAAGAAACATTTGATGCTTTCATTCTTTGTCTATAACTGTTGCTATTACAAATTTTAGTTTTTATAAATTTACAAGGTATCTTTAAGAAACTTAACTTACCAATTTGATCTTTTAATATTTAGGACTGTTCGGATAAATTCGAGGATTTAAATATGACCCCATTTGATCATCTTACAAAAGTAAAATCAAGAACAAAGCTTTTAGGAAAGAGCCCAGATGATAACCATAATCGTACAAAACGTTCTACAAGACCATATACTGCACCAGAGATTAACAAAAGACGAGAAAACTACCCCAGAAAAGTTTCAAGTCCTCGAATGGTTTCGGCAGGCTTAGTTCATATAAATGACGTAACTACAGACTATGAAATGCGTAAAATGCGGCAAAAAAAAAAATTAAAAGAGGATATTGAAAAATGTTCGCTCATTTGTGATATTATCCAAATGTTAAACAGGTCAGAATGATATATGAGGCCAACCGTCAGAGTATCATTTCTCCATTAACAAAATGGTTTGGAGATCTCTCCTTTTGTGTGATAGAAGTCAGCAACCAAATTTCATCTTGTTAGACCATTTTGTTTTGATTAAAATGAAAAAATAAACACACTTGATGTAAATGTGTTTTGTACCTTTGAACTTGGAGAACAAGCCCAGAAATACATTATCAGTTATGTTCACTAGCAAAGTTTTCTAAGCTTTTACCTTTTCCACTATATAATACCACTCCAATTCATATTTCTCTGACTGCTCCAATCTTTTTTATACTCTCAATTATCCCTATGTACCCAATTTCCAGGAGATAGGGTCCTTCCAGGTCACCCAAGCTAGACTGCAATCGTGCGCTTGAAGCTCACTGCAGCCTCAAACTCCTGGGTTCAAGTGATCCTCCTGCCTCAGCCTTCCAGATCTCTGGGATTATAGTACTCAGCCATTGCACCTGGCTTTTTATTTATTTATTTATTTATTTATTGAGACAAAGTCTCACTATGTCATCCTTAGAGTGCCGTGGCATCATAGCCCACAGCAACTTCAAATGCTTGGATTCAAGAGATCCTCTTGCCTCAGCCTCTTGAGTACAGCATGACAACTGGCTGGTTTTTCTATTTATTTTTTTTTTTTTTTTTGAGACAGAGCCTCAAGCTATTCCCCTGGGTAGAGTGCTATGGCATCACAGCTCACAGCAACCTCCAACTCCTGGGCTCAAGAGAGTCTCCTGCCTCAGCCTCCCAAGTAGCTGGGATCACAGGCACCTGCCACAGCGCCTGGCTATTTTTTGGTTGCAGCCGTCATTGTTGTTTGGTGGGCCCAGGCTAAATTCGAACCCACCACCTTAGGTGTATGTGGCTGGCACCTTAGCCACTTGAGCCACAGGCGCCAAGCCGGTTTTTCTATTTTTAATAGAAACAGGGTCTCACTTTTGCTCAGGCTGGTCTTGAATTCCTGAGCTCAAGCAATCCACCCTTCTCAGCCTACCAGAGTGTTAGGATTATAGGTGTGAGCCACTGCGCCCAGCCACGTTATGGAACTTATTACTTTTAACATCATCTAATATTGTATCTTTTTACACAATAATGATAAAGAACATATTTAATATTAGTTACTACAGCATCTCCTACACTGTCATGACTTTCTAAGTAACTCTAAAGACTGTGTAAAGGGCTTCTTTAATAACATCAAACTACATAGGAAGCTGCATAAAATTGTAGAAACTGAACAAAATGTAATCTGAGTAGCTAAATCAACATAAGATTTAAACAAGAGACTTCAGAGAATTTGGTTCTATTTGCATAGAGTACAGTACTTGGGTCTCAAATCCGTTTGCCTCATTAAGCTTTTTTTTTTTTTTTTAGTGTTGAGGATTCATTGAGGGTACAAGAAACCAGGTTACACTGATTGCATTTGTTAGGTAAAGACCCTCTTACAATTGTGTCTTGCCCCAAAAGCTGTGGCACACACCAAGACCCCATCCCCTCGCTCCTTCCTGCTCTCTTCTATTCCTTTCCCCACCCCTCCCTTCTTCTTCTCTCTCTGCTCTCCCCTTCCTCCACCCCTGCCGTGTCATTAATTGTCATTAATTGTCCTTATATCAAAATTGAGTACATAAGATTCATGCTTCCCCATTCTTGTGATGCTTTACTAAGAATAGTGTATTCCACTTCCAACCAGGTTAATACAAAGGCTATAAAGTCTCCATTTTTTTAATGGCTGAATAGTATTCCATAGTGTACATATACCACAGCTTGTTAATCCATTCCTGGGTTGGTGGGCATTAGGCTGTTTCCACATTTTGGTGATTGTAAATTGAGCTGCAATCAACAGTCTTGTACAAGTGTCCTTATGATAAAAGGATTTTTTCCTTCTGGGTAGATGCCCAGTAATGGGATTGCAGGATCAAATGGGAGGTCTAGCTTGAGTTCTTTGAGGGTTCTCCATACTTCCTTCCAAAAAGGTTGTATTAGTTTGCAGTCCCACCAGCAGTATAAAAGTGTTCCTTTCTCTCCACATCCATGCCGGCATCTGCAGTTTTGAGATTATTGTGATGTGGGCCATTCTCACTGAGGTTAGATGGTATCTCTGGGTGGTTTTGATTTGCATTTCGTTAATAATGAGGGATGATGAGCATTTTTTCATATGTTTGTTAGCCATTCGTCTGTCGTCTTTAGAGAAGGTTCTATTCATGTCTCGTGCCCATTGATATATGGGATGGTTGGCTTTTTTCATGTGGATTAATTTGAGTTCTGTATAGATCCTAGTTATCAATGGGAAATATCCTTTCCCATTGTGCAGATTGTCTGTTTGCTCTGGTTGTTGTCTCCTTAGCTGTACAGAGCTTTTCAGTTTAATTAAGACCCATTT